AAGCAACCATCCTGGTCATCTCAGCAAGCACCATTCCCCGGGTGAGTTTCACAGACATTGCCTCTGCCTCTGGGCACAGCTTATCCTGGAAGACCTTACATGATGGTGGATGTTTGCGAGGCTCTTCCACAGGATGGTGGGTGAGTGGGGAGGGTCTGAGCTCTGACCATCCTCCCGTCCTATCGGAGCCTCGTGCATCTAACTTGAGTCTGGTTCTAGTCTCTTCTCCTTTACCACGGCTCTTCCCTGCCTTCTATACAGCCTGAACTCAGCAAATCACCCCTAACTGGGTAGGCTGGATGCAGACCCAAATAGTGTTAAACTTTGGTTAGACCTCCAGAAGGGGGGACTCCACCCCTACCAGAGTCTTCTGTTTTGAACCTGGGGAATTAGAATCCTAGCACTGCTGTAACAAATTACCACATACCAGGTAGCTTAAAACAACAGAAACGTGGCCGAGCCTGGTGGATCATGCCTGTAATCCCAGCACTTTGGGAGGCCGAGGCTGGTGGATCACTTGAGGTCAGGAGTTCAAGACCAGCCTGGCCAACATGGTGAAAACCCGTCTCTACTAAAAATACAAAAATTAGCCAGGTGTGGTGGGGGGGTGTCTGTAACCCCAGGTACTCGGGAGGCTGAGGCAGGAGAATCACTTAAGCCCAGGAGGCAGAGGTTGCAGTGAGCTTAGATGGTGCCACTGTACTCCAGCCTGGGCAACAGAGTGAGACTCCGTATCAAGAAAAGAAAAAAAAAAAAACCAGAAAAGTGTAGTCTGTGATTCTGGAGACTGGAAGCCCAAGGTCAAGGTGCTGGCAGGATGGAGTTCTCCCGGAACGCTCTAGGGGAGAATCCGTTCCAGCCTCTTCCCAGCTTCCAGTGGTTGCCACAACTCTTGGTGTTCCTTGGCTCACAGACACATCCTGCCAGTGTCCGCCTCTGTCATCAGGGGCTGTTCTTCCTGTGTCCCTTCCCTTCTTCTAAAGACACTAGTCATAATCCCTAAGATGACCTCACCTTAACTCGATCGCATCTGCAAAGGTCTATTTCCAAAGAGATCCCATTCACAGGTACCAGGGTTAAAACTTCAACATATCTTTTGGGGAGATACAATTCAACCCACAAAAGATGGCAAATAGCTTTTATACAGATGTGACCCTGGTGGTTTCTGAGGATTGACGGATGTTATTTGCCATGGGCTCAGCAGGAAGAAGTGTCCACAGAGGGCATGTGAGCCAGCACCCTCCTCTTCCAGCTGGGTAGTAACATGGGCTCTGGTCTCCTTGGCAGATGAAGGTGGGCATAGGGCTGAACCTGGTCACCTCACTGTGGGCCAGCCTCGGGGTGTGTGGCTTCATGGCTGAGCTGGCTGCCAGCAGCAACTATACCCAAGTGAGTGTCTCAGACCCAGAGAACCAGCATCCACTTTGTGGGCGCCATTTGACCCAAGAAACCACCACCAAGAGATGTCTTCTTATTCTCTATTACCAAAGTGAAAATGGGGAGTGGGATTTTGTTTTTTAGATGGAGTCTCGCTCTGTCACCCAGGCTGGAGTGCAGTGTCATGACCTCTGCTCACTGCAACCTCTGCCTCCCAGTTCAAGCGATTCTCCTGCCTCAGCCTCCTGAGTAGCTGGAAGTACAGACGCATGCCACCACACTCAGCTAGTAATTTTTTGTACTTTTAGTAGAAACGGAGTTTCACCGTGTTAGTCAGGCTGGTCTCAGTCTCCTGACTTTGTGATCCACCTGACTTGGCCTCCCAAAGTGTTGGAATTTCAGGCATGAGTCACCACACCTGGCCAATTTTTTTTTACAGATAGAGCCTCACTAAGTTGCTCATGCTGTCCTCAAACTCCTGGGCTCCAGCAATCCTCCTGCCTCAGCCTCCTGAGTGACTGGGACTCCAGGCAGGCACCATGACACCCAGATTTTTGGAATAGGGTTTAAGTGCTTTAGCAATTAGCTCCAGAGCCCCAAGGCAGAACCCCACCAGGATCTAACAGCCCCAAGTACTTGCCACTGGACTAGCTTTTCCCGTGTTGATGCTGATGTGGTGGCTCTTTGGGACACCAAGGCAGGAGGATCACTTGAACTCAGGAGTTTGAGACCAGCCTGGGTAACCTGGTGAGGCCCAATCTCAACAAAAAAATATTAAAAAAAAAAAAATTAGCTGGGCCTGGTGGTGCATGCCTGTAGTCCCAGCTACTTGAGAGGCTGAAGTGGGAGGATTGCTTGAGCCCATGAGTTCAAGGCTGAAGTAAGCTATGATCACACCACTGCACTCCAGCCTGGGCAACAGGGTGAGCCTCTGTCTCTTTAAAATAATAATAATTTGTATGGAGTAAGATATTCCAGCTGCTTGCCTCCTACCAAGGACGTTCCCCTCCAAGATAATATAGGTCAAGGGGACATTAGAAAGACGGCCAACATGAGGATACCTAAGATTTATCAGTGAGTCCTGCCTTCTGGCTGGGGCCATCGAGGTCAGATCTTTTCAAAAACATGTGATTATGTCATGAGGTTGCTACCAGGGACCTGGATGTGGCAGAAATGGGCCTGGGAATACTGGGGGAGGAGTTTCCTCTGCTCATATCCTAGGGAAAGAGAGGAAAGGAGAAACACTGTCTTCAGTTGGGTCCAACACACCTTGCAGGAGTGAGAGACACACTGCCCATGGCTGCCCCCACCTTGACCACTTCAGTGACCCAGTTACCCAGAATCCCCGACCTGCCACTGTAGCCTGCAGTCCCTGAACGGCCCCAAGACTCAACTTCCTGCCCATGACCTCACCTATAACTGACCTTCCTCCGAGGCCACCATGACCCTCCTCCACTGTGTCCACCTTCTCCATCCACACCTCTCCCTCTCCTCTGGCTCCAGAAACTCAAGTCCCAGAGACCCCACATCTCTCTCTGACTGTGGGCTCCCCTCTCTTCCCTTGCACAGTGACAATCTTCTGTATGGAGCCTACCTCCTTCTCTCCCATCTCCACAGACCTCAAGCCCTCTCAGGGTAGCCGCTAGTAGCTTACTGCCAAATACACTACATACTTTTCCATGTATTTTCTTACTCGACCCTTCTGTACTGTTTTGCTGCTGGATGTCAGTCTGAATGGTTGACCACATGGGGCTTGGAATTAAATGGGTCTGAATCCCAGCTTTAACTTACCAAGTGTGTGGCTTTGGACAAGTACCTATTTTTCTGAATCTCGGTTTCATTTTCTGTGAAATGGGGCTAATCATAGTACCCATCTAATAAGGCAACTAAGATTAAAATAAGCACATAACAGGTCCCCAATAGATGGCAGGTCACTCCCCTTCTAGATAGCTTGCCTTCTTGCCGGGTGCAGTGGCTCACACCTGCAATCCCAGCACTTTGGGAGGCTGAGGCGGGTGGATCACAAGGTCAGAAGATCAAGACCATCCTGGCCAACATGGTGAAACCCCGTCTCTACGAAAAATACAAAAATTATCCAGGCGTGGTGGCACATGCCTGTAATTCCAGCTATTCAGGAGGCTGAGGCACAAGAATCGCTTGAACTAGGGAATCGGTGGTTGCAGTGAGCCAAGATCGCCCCACTGCACTCCAGCCTGGCAACAGAGCAAGATTCCATTGAGAGAGAGAAAGAGAGAGAGAGAGAGCTAGCTAGCTTCTTATTGAATCCCTTGCCAAAGGTCTCACATTAGCAGACAGTATATCGCTGATTCCAAAGGGAATGACACAACCCAGACACCTATAGGAGAAAGAGGACTATCCAGCCACTGGAGAACATGCAGAGAGCGACGCTTCCTGGTTCCCACCTCTGTCCCATGACGGCCTATTGCAGAATGCATATCCCAGTAACTGGGAGGCTCCAAAAGAGTGACCATATGTCCCTGTGGCATAGATGTAGTTTACACCCAGTGCCCCATCTAGACAGAAGTTCCTGTTTGGAGGATAAATGATATCCCGTATTCCCTGGGATAGTCACTCTCTCCACACAGGCAGCTCCAGAGACTTGTGACACACGGCCACCAGGTGGCAGCGTGGCATCGAGCACTGAACTTGAGCACCCGCTCTGGGCGAAGAAATCAGGAGTGCCCGGCCAGGGAAATACCAGTCTCAGATATTTATGGGCACCTGCTGAGGCTGCTGGTACCAGTGGGGTCAGCTCCAAATTCAGAAAGATATTTATTTGCAGAATGGAACAGAATTGGTCAAGGAGGGAACAGCCGGGAATGTCAGGGTTCATAGGCTGGGACCTTTGGGATTCCGTTGACATCCGCCCCTCCAGTTGTGGTTACCCTGAGCTCTCCTCACTCCAGGCACTAACGATGGCCTTTGGGGCATTTCGAGATTATTCCACATTGATTATATCACCAACAGGATTGTGTGGCCTGTGCTGCTTGGAGGACAGATCAGAAACACTTGGGTGCCTGGGGCAGGCTAAAAATTTGGCCCCCATCCAAATTGATAATCAAATATGTCTAATTTCAACTGAGTGAAAATAGCAAGATGCCATTTTCTCATTAATAAAAGTCATAATACCCCCCTTTTTTTTTTCTTTTTTCTTTTGGAGATGGAGTTTCACTCTTGTTGCCCAGGCTGGAGCACAATGGAGCAGTCTCAGCTCACCACAATCTCTGCCTTCTGGATTCAAGCCATTCTCCTGTCTCAGCCTCCTGAGTAGCTGGGATTACAGGCATGCACCACCACATCTGGCTAATTTTGTACTTTTAGTAGAGACAAGGTTTCTCCATGTTGGTCAGGCTAGTCTTGAACTCCCGACCTCAGGTGATCCACCCACCTTGGCCTCCCAAAGTGCTGGGATTACAGGCGTGGGCCACCAGGCCCGGCTGTAACCCCCTTTCTTCACGTTCAAAGTGGAGATGTATTACACACACCAACTGGACTCTAATCGATTTGGAATTGTCTTTCCTGATTCTTCCCCCACTCAAAACTGAGGAGCATTGCTCACCCTCTCTCTCATTTGTAAATAGCAGAAGTTACCACAGAAGCAATAACCAGTCTCATTCTATATTTATTTATCGCTGTTTTCAGGCATTTGTGGTTGCAGTGAGAGTCTCACTTGGCTGCTGAAGCTGGTGTGCGGTGATGAGATCATAGCTCACCACAGCCTCAATCTCCCAGGCTTAACTAATCCTCCAGTCTCAGCCTCCCAAGTAGCTGGGTCTACAGGTGGACAACTTCTTAGGAGATATTTTTTAAGGCTTGCGGATGCCTTCTTGGTAAACGGTCCTTTGCAGTGCATTAATTGGTTTCAGAATTCAGGCTGCCCAGCCATGCTCACTGCAGGGGCTGCCAGCAGGCTGGTCTCAGACCCAGGCTGGCCAGTGGATGCAGCAACTTGCAATGCACACTGCGGAAATACCCCCACAGAGGTAGGCTTGTGCTGGGGAAGAATAGTTTTTCTTTCTACTTAGGGGTATTGTCTATTTTGGCAAAAGGGACACCAATTTCATTTCCACCAGCTATGAGAGAACCTGCAGGTGGAAACCCGAGTTAACATGCAGCAGATTTCTGATGAATTTCTGTGGTGTTTCGGTGTTCCTCTGATGAGTGCATCAGGAAACTGCCCACCTGGCCAACTCATCAATCCCCTTTAACTGGCCTCCTCCAGGAAGTCCTCCTTGACATTCTCTCACCCTTGGGAGCAGACGGGGCTGATAGGGTTTCAGCTGGCAAAACCCTATCAGATTCACCACTGCACCCAGCTTGCCATACTGGGCTATCTAAGTACAGACTCAATCTTCTCTCTCCAGCTGGACTCAACACAGTTGAGGACAGCGTCTGCATCTTACACTCTTTTGTGGTCCCTATGCCCAGCATACGCCAGGCAACAAAGGAGAGTCTACTCGAATCAATTCTTCCTTGTTGACTGATACCAAATCCTTTTAGAGAGTACTCAGGAACCAATTCCTTGAACAAACTCCTGAGTATGGACCTGCCGTCCCCCTAACACTCATCATACCTTGCCCACTGATTCTTTTGCATTCACTATTTCAAGAAAAAGTGGGAACTCTTAACTATGACTCTCCAGAAATTCCCACCACAATGTGAACTTGTCCTTATCCAAACAATAATTTTACATTACATAACAACTAGAAGATGCTAATGCTAGAATTCTCTCCAGGAATCGTTATTGAAACTTTTGCCCACTTGATGTTTGTTTCGTGACCATTCATCTGACAATTATTTATTGAACAACTACTAAGCACAGATGGTCCTCAACTTAAGCTGGTTCAACTTGGGACTTTTCAACCTTACGGTGGATTTATTTGGATGTAACCCCATCATAAGCTGAGGAACACCTGTACTGGTTGGGTTTGCGGAATACAGGAACAAACAAAATGGCGGGGGGGGGACCTATCATAGGGAACTCACATTCTAGTCAGCGGGAAATGGACAAGTAAGCTATTATAACATATTGTAACTAAAGAACAAGGAAAAGCTCATCCATCCAAACTGCCTCTGATGAAGCAATAGTGCTATGATGGACATTGTCCTTACCAATCATATTTGCCCCAGAAAAGGGTGCAAAAATGACCATAAGACTTTCCCCCTTGAGATAGACACCTGCTTGTTAGTAAATAATTTCTGTACCAGTTGCTATGTCACAAACCACCCCAAAACCTTCTGGTGTAAAACAATCGTATTATCATGCTTGTAGATTTTATAGCCCAGAACTTGGACAAAGCAGAGCAGGGAAAGGTAATCTCTGCTCTATGGTCTGGAACCTCTGCTGGGAAGAATCCAAGTTGGGAGTGATCTGATGAGTGGGAGCTACAATCATCCGGAAGTATCTTCACTCATGCCTGGCAGATGATGCAGGCTCTCAGCCAGGACCTCAGCTGGGCTGTGAGCTACAGCACTTTCATAGGCCTCTCCATGTGGGATGATTTGAACTTCCTCACAACATGGCGGCTGAGTTCCAAGAGCTAGCATCCTGTCTATGAAAGCCAGATGGAAGCTCACAGCATTCTATGATCTAGTCTCAGATGTCACATGGCAGGCTGGGTATGCAGCGGCTCATGCCAATCTTGGCATTTTGGGAGGCCAAGGCAGGAGGATGGCTTGAGGCAAGGAGTTCTAGACCAGCTTGGGTAATATAGCAGGACCTGTCTGAAAAAAAAAAAAAAAAAATTGTAATTATCCAGGTGTGGTGGTGTACACCTGTAGTCCCAGTTACTCAGGAGGCTAAGGCAGGAGGATTGCTTGAGCCCAGGACTTTGAGGCTACAGTGAGCTATGATAACACCAGGCTGGGCAACAGAGTAAGACTCTGTCTCTGAAAATAAAATGAAGAAGTCACATGGCAACAGTCCTGCCGTACTTGCCCAGGGCAATTACAAAGATCATGCAGGTTTGAAGTTGAGGGGGATGTAGACCCCACTACTGGAGGGAAGGGGACATCTAGGTCACATGGTAAGAAGAGCACATGGATAGGAGATACAGTTGAGGCCAACCTGGGAAAGCGCAGCGTCCTACCCAACCTGTGTCTAATTTCCAAACAAGCGAGATATCTAGATCTACCCACAGTCATCTTGAGAGCAGAGAGCGAAAGCCACTCAAGCAGAAGATATTATCTGGGTGTTGTATAATCTTTGGTTTAAAGCAGAGAATAAAAGAGCAGTGGAATAACACTTCAGTTATCAGCCCTGCCCTGTAGGGAAGGTACTTGTAACGATCTGAAATTTCTGGCTTATTTTCAAAGAATATAAAAACTAGGCCTAGGCTAGAGAGGAGGCTCATTCTTGATTTAGGTCAAGTGCCTAAAACACAGAGGCAGAGCAGCCTGGGTGAAACTGTCCACACTTTGGAAGCAGAGTGCTAGATTTAAACCCTCACTGTGCACTTACCAGCTGCCTATCCCTGGGCAAATTTCTCCACCTCTGAAAAACAGAGCAGCAATACTAACTTCCTCAGTCGCTGTGAGAATTAAATGGGGGTAATATTTGCCAAAACTTTTGTAGCTACACTGAAAAGAATCTCGATCCTTTAAACCACCAGTGGAACCGATCCATTTTCTGATGTTTAATTCACCACAATAAAATCAAGACTGCTGACCGTTCTCATGTCCTGAAAACTTACCGTAAGTGACGTACTTTTCCATTTTTTAGGGGAGTGATCTGCTTGTTTCTACAACTGCCCCTTGAGAGAACACGCCATGGAATTTGAGATCCAGAAGAATAAGCCTTATTGATCCAGTGGGGTTTAGGAGTTGCTCCGTCCCTGGGGGGCTCATGTTCTGTCTCCTCTATGAGAACAGAGAAGAGAAACTGTTGACTCAGGGGAGGGCTCATCTTACCCATCTAGCATGGTATGAACCCGCTGAGTCAGATTTACGGCCGGTTTTGGTCACCACTAGAGTGACAGAGAAACTCAGTGGTAGAAAAAGCAGAGATTTTCCCTACCACATGGTCAAGAGGAACCAAGGAACCAAGAAGCCAGAAACCAAGCTGATCATGCTCCAGGGAAGATCTCTCATAATTTGCTCCTGGTACGCTCCTCCTTGGTCCCCAAGGTCTCCACGGGTTGCCATTGAGATGAAGCTGCCATATGGATTGGAAGGGATGACCATCACTTAAGCAGACCTCACACTGTGTGAGGGCCAAAGCTTTAGAGGAAATGAGAGAATAGGGAGAAGTGAACAGAGAGGAAGCCAAATATTAGAGGAAATGAGAGAATAGGAATAAGTGAACAGAGAAGAAAGGAGGGGAAGTGACTCACCATGAAACTCTGTGCCTATCCAGGTCTTAGGAACTGAGAGTCCAGGTGCGGGGTGTAAGTATGAGTGCCTACCCATCTGTCCATCTGTCTAAGCTCTTCTTCCACACACAGGGATGAAGTCCGCAGCTTTCCACCCACTGGCAACATATGCACAGGGCCTGTCGCTCTCCCATCTCAGTGCAGCTCCATGAAGCAGAGAAGACTCACAGCCAGGGAATGGGGGCAGATTCTGAGTTGAGGAGTCCTGAGTTCAAGTCCTGTGACTTAACATTTGGGCAACATTCAGCAAGTCACATAGCCCCTCTGAGATGCCATCTCCTCACCTGTGAAATAGGGGAATTAATTCTTGTTCAGCCTTCCTCAAAGGATACTTTTCAGGTTCAGGTGTTTATGATCTATGCCCCCAAGATGCTGTAAGCTCCAGTAAGGCAGGGACCACAATCGCCCTCTTCCCTGCTATACCTCTTCATGATGCTGTCATGAAGTAAACATTCAAAAAAGACTCGGTGAATAAACAAAACAGTATGACGATCTCAGCACCTGCCCTAGACAGAAGGCAAAGAAGGAACGCTCTTCTCGTATTGCTCTATCCTTCCCACCAGATGCTGCTGTGTAAAATGTGGTCTGTGGACCAGTAGCAGCAGCATCATCTGACAGCTTGCTAGAAATGCAGGCCAGGCACGGTGGCTCACACCTGTAATCCCAGCATTTTGGGAGACCAAGGTGGGAGGATCACCTGAGGTCAGGAGTTCCAGACCAACCTGGCCAACATGGTGAAATCCAGTCTCTACTAAAAATACAAAAAAAAAAAAAAAAAAAAAAATTAACTGGTCGTGGTGGCGAGTGCCTGTAGTCCCAGCTACTTGGGAGATTGAGAATCACTTGAACCCAGGAGGCGGAGGTTGCAGTGAGCCAAGATTGTGCCACTGCACTCCAGCCTGGACAACAGAGTGAGACTCCATCTCAAAAAAAAAAAAAAGAAAGAAAGAAAGAAAGAAAGAAAAGAAATGCAAATTCAGGCCAGGTGTGCTGGCTCACAGCTATAATCCTAGCACTTTGGAAGGCCGAGGAGGGTGGATCACCTGAGGTCAGGAATTTGAGCCCAGCCTGACCAACACGGTAAAACCCTGTCTTACCAAAAATACAAAAATTAGCTAGGCCTGTTGGTATGCACCTGTAGTTCCAGCTACTTGGGAGGCTGAGGCAGGAGAATTGAATGTGGGAGGCAGAGGTTGCAGTGAGCCGAGATCACACCACTGCAGTCCAGCCTGGGTGACAGTGCAAGACTCCATCTCAAAAAAAAAAAAAGGGCGGGGGAGAGAGATGCAAATTCATGAATCTTAATTTGGGGGAGGGGCTGGTCAGAGCTCAGGAATCTGTGTTTTAATACAACACCCTCCATGATCCCGACACTCACTGAAGTTTGGAAAGCATTGCTGCTGGACCCAACACATTGGGTGAGGTTGGAAGTGGGTATGAGACACCATGCTCCCTTCCGGAGTTAGCTACTTCCCACCTGTTCAGGTGTTCATTACCAACCCCGCCCCACCCCTTCCTTGGTCTGCCTTGGAGCAGGGAAAATGCTGTGGAGGCTGGCAGGGGCCTGAGGAGGGAGAGGAGGTCTTGTCTCCTCCTCCCCCTCTCCATGGTGACCTGGGCTAGCAGGTCTGGCCCCTTCCTGTTTCAGCGGAACCTGCAGACGCTGTGAGAGGATCGGGAGATAAGCTCTGCCCTCCTCAGACCTAAGCAGGGGAATATACACAAGAACTTTGCAAAGTGGGCCCTTCCCAGGCCAGGAGCTTCTCTGCACTCTGGCAATGCTCTGTGGGGGAAGCAGGGAGGTCTCAAGCTGGGGTCCCAAGTACCATTCCATCCTCCCCCATCCCTTGGCCCCTCTACTAAGATCTCTTCCCCCCCACCTCCTCTCAAGGATCTGAAACTGACAGTGAGATGTCAGGAGCACACAGCAAAGATGAGCCTCTGAGATAAGCACGCATGACAAGAATTCACACGATTACCCTGCCATACCCTGGTCCTGTTCCATGTTCTCAGTGGGACCTGATTCAAGGTACCCAGAAGCAGCTCCTCACACGTACAAAAGAGAAAGTGGGGGCAAGTACCAAAGGAGGAGAGCTGGGTTCCCAGAGAGGTAAAAACAAAATGCAACAGGGACACATGAAAAATCCTGCACCATCCAAAAAAGCCAACAGTTCATGTCCAAGATCAGAGCAAGAGGAGCAGGGAAGCGTGACAGCCATGGGAACTGGACTGAGGGTTTCCATCAGATTCCATGGAACGGCTTGAATGCAATCTTGGCCACACTGATATGGATCATGTCGTAGGAAGGTGACAAATCTACTCAGCCATCCACATGGGGATGGTCAGCCTTGGACCCCACATTCTGGAAGCATTGTAGAGAACTGGTGTCTTTCCCAAAGATTTATCATGTCATGGGAGGAACAGCTGGAGGAACAGGACGTGATTAACCTGGACAAAAGACAATTCTGGAAAAACTACAAGAAAACTGACTTCAAATACTTAACAGAGCTCTTAAGCAGAACACAGAGCCACTGGATCCGTGCTGCACAGTGAAGATTCACTGAGGACCAGTCTCACCTCTGCCATGTGGGTTCTGCCTTCACTCCTGCCATGCTCAGCAACAACCTGGGTGCCAATGACATCCCAGACTGAGGCAGTCCCATGTCCCAGTCCCGGGCCTGATGCAGGTGGAGGTTAAAGGCTTAGAGTCAAGAAGCCCTGAGTTCTAGACCTCACCCTGTGCCCTCTCCTTCTGTCACTCTGGCCCCAAATCGCAGCCTCTCTGGGACTGGGATTTCCTCATCAGTAAAATGGGGATGATCACCCCAGCCCTGTAAGGTCCTAATAAGGATGCAGTCACTCAACAAACACATACTGTGCTCCTGCTGAAAATCACCTCGGCCAGGCACAGTGGCTCACGCCTGTCATCCCAGCCCTTTGAGAGGCTGAGACAGGCGTATCACTAGAGGCCAGGAGTTCTAGACCAGCCTGGCCAACATGGTAAAACCCCATCTCTACTAAAAATACAAAAATTAGCTGGGCATTGTGGCAGGCGCCTGTAGTCCCAGCTACTCAGGAGGCTGAGGCAGGAGAATCGCTTGAACCCAGGAGGTCCAGGTTGCAGTGAGCCCAAGATCATGCCACTGTACTCCAGCCTGGGTGACAGGGCAAGGCTCTGCCAAAAGAAGAAAAGAAAAGAAGACAAGAAACTAAGGCACAGAGAGGCTGAGACACTTGTAAAGGTCACAGAGCAAATAAGATCCACACCTAGAGTGTCTGACCCCAGAGCCACAACTCTTAACAGCAAATCTGCCTGTTACCCAGGCAAGGAAACAGGCATGGAAAGGCTACGGAGCTTGCCCAAAATCAGACAGAGACACATTCAGGAATCCAGGATTGTGGTTCCAGAGCTGGCACACTTAGCTGCCTTGCAGCTGCCCCCACGTGGGCCTTGCTCACCTGTTCCTCACATTGATCCTTGTCTGTGTGCTGGGAGGTGCTGGGTACCACCTGGCTCACACCATCGTGCAGAATGTGCTGAATGAGCAATACCAGCTTATTTATGTAAACTGAGATCTGCTGACTGAGGGAAAACAAGCACTAGCCGATGGATGGAAGACAGGGGCCAGGTGTTCTCCTCTAAGTCATTGACCTCCTGTCAGCCAAGGGGTGCTGCAGTTGAGAGGGTTTGACAACCCCCAGATGTCAAGGACCTGCGTCCCCATGGCCCTCTATTCAATACCAAGATCAGAAAAGGGCAGGGAAATGGTCCCTGGTGGTCACCGGCAGCGCTAACTGAGCACTTACCATGTGCTCATGTGCTCCCAGTAACAACTGCAGCTGCCTCACAGGATTCTTGGGAGCAGCATTAGTAAATGGAATTGTACTTGCAGAGTGCTTGAAACAGTGCCTGGATCAATCACTGCTTGCCCCAGTGTTTTAGGCTGGGTTTCTCCAGAAACCAACTCTGAATGAGGATTTAAGTACAATATTTGTCTGCTCTGAAAATGACCCAGCAAGCATCTATAACAAAGTGGGAAAGTAAGAGAGGGATAAAGCCAAAAGAGGGTACATGACCAGGTTACCTATGTGGGTTCAATCCTGCTGGGGACCCCTGGAGGCTGCAGAGAAGCCCCTCAGTATGCTACCACCTGCAGGCAAGAAAACTGGGATGTAGAAAGCCACAATAGAAAGCAAAGGAGCAGCCAGGCACAGTGGCTCATGCCTGTAATCCCAATACTTCGGGAGGCTGAGGCAGGAGGATCACTTAAACCCAGGAGTTCAAGACCAGCCTGAGCAACACAGAGAGATCCTATCTCTACAAAAAATAAAAATGCCGGGCATGGTGGCATGAGTCTGTGGTGCCAGCTACTCAGGAGGCTGAGGTGGGAGGATCCCTAGGGCCTGGGAGATAAAGCCTGCAGCAAACGGTGATCGTGCCACTGCACTCCAGCCTGGGCAACAGAGCAAGACCCTGTCTCAAATATAATAATTTTTTAAAGAAAGCAAAGGAGTGTAAAGAGATAGGATCCAACAGTGACCTCCACACCAGGCTCTTCTGAAGATTTCAGGAGTGTCCTCAGGGATTCCAGACACCATGTATAAAGACAATGACGAACTGAGCTCAGGTGGGAGTAGGGGGTTCTGGGCCAGAGCCCGCCTGATGCTGAGGTTGACAAAGCGTCTCCAAATGTTTGGGGGAAACCCAAGGCCTCCTCTGAAAAACATCTCCCTCCCTCTGGTGAAAACCTGAGATCACCCTCTGAAGTATTTCAGGCAAGGCTAGGATGTGATCCAGTCTGCACTGGAGAGTGATCCCTCCAGCTGGGATAAGCGCTTAGGAGGCAGGGCAAGCCTAGGGAGGCTGGAGCAGGGCAGAGGGACGTACAGTCTCCTCCAGCACCCTGGCAATGCCTGCCAGGCATGGTTCTGAGTATCAGATCATTGGGGTCTCCCAGAAGGGGCAGGGAATTTAAGGAAGTGAATGGAACTCACTCCTCTGAGACTTGGGAGGTGGGAAAACTGGGCAAGGAAGTATCCCAGCTGCTTCCGCTGTGGAGAGCTACACACAGGGGAGTGGCAGTGAGGCAGGCAAAGCCCCCCTGCAGGGGTCTCCCTGGCTCATGAACATGAGGAAGATGAGGGCACTCTGACCCCTGTATTCTTGGATAATTTCCCATGCCCTCCCACAAGCCCCCAGCTGGAGAAACAATGGTTTCTAAAAGAAACTACTGGAATGTTGGACAGGGGCCCTGGGATATTCAAAGGCCAATCCCAGGCAGTTCCAAGAATAACCCAACTGGACCACTTCCAAGATGTTCTTCCTAAGAAGCATTCTGTAAGTAAATCAAAACTCCACTCCTGGGTCTCACACGAAGGTCCCCACAGCCCCGCACTCCCCAACCCCACAGTCCCGAGTCTTCTCTAGCTCCTGGAAGGTCCAGAAGGCAAAGCCTGCTCACTGTCGAGGTCCCAAAGTGCTCTGTAAGTAAAGTACGTTTACAGGTGAATAGGAAGGGAAGGGAGGGGAGGCAGGTTCGCAGGGGCAAAAAGCACTGTCTGGGCTGAAAGGAAGATCAGAGGTGATCCAACCTGTTTCTAGAACTGGGGCAGAAAAGAGGGACAAGCAAGGGTACGAAGCTGGTTGAGGGCCCAGGTGAGCCACAAGACAAAGGTGGTGCCTCTTATTGGTACCTCAACTTCACTCATAAACACTGAAAACACTGAAAAGGTTGAGCCATAGATCACATACAGAAGCACAGGCCCAGGAAAGGCAAGTGAATGTTTAACACAAAAAAGACCCATCTTCCACCTCCAGGACCCCCAGACAGCATTCTCTCAGGCAGCTAGTAGGAGTACTCCGACGGATCATTTTGGATGCTCAAAGCTAGTGCAAAATGACCCATACTGCAGATGAGAAAACAGGCCCAAGGAAGGCAGGACGCTGACCAACTGCACGGGAGTTCACAAAACTTCCACGAGCCTTCCCTATGGGCTCCTCGGACCTTTTTTCAACCCTGTTCTTTACCGGAAATGGGTCTTCCCACTTTGCCTTTTCTATTTGCTCGTTCTTCTTTCCCAGGAAACTGTTTGCAAGAAAAGCAAACGCGAATTCAAGAAAAAAACCGGCTCATCAATCACGTGTTAAAGGCGCTCGTGCGCATTGCGCATGCGCATGCTAAACCTCACCCCCCCCCCCCCCAGTCCCCCACTCCACCCCTCACCAACATGGCCGCTACAGCAACAGCCCCTCCTGCGCGTTACGGACGTAGCGAGTCGTGACGTCATAGGAAAGCGCCGGTTGTCGGCGGGGGCTACACGTGTACATGGGTTTGGAAACTTACCGGCTGAGCCATGGACACACCGCTAAGGCGCAGTCGACGGCTGGAAGGCCTACGGCCCGAATGCTCCGAGAGCCTCACCTTAGTTTCGCGGGCGAGACGGGCCCTTGTGGAGTTCGCGTCGAACCCAGAAGAAACGAGGGAGTCCGGGTCTCCTCCAAGTGTGCAGCAAGCTGGCCTGGGCTCCCCCGAAAGGCCGCCGGAGACAAGCCCAGGATCACCCAGTCTGCAGCGGGGTGCAGGCTTGGAGTCCCCCCAAGGGCACCCAGAGCCAGGCCCAAGCTCCCCCCAGCGTCAGCAAGACCTACACCCGGAGTCGCCTCAAAGACAGCCGGAGTCCAGTCCTGAATCCCCACGATGTCAGCCGAAGCCAAGTGAGGAAGCGCCAAAGTGTTCTCAAGGCCAGGGAGTACTGGCCTCTGAGTTGGCCCAGAATAAGGAGGAGCTGACCCCGGGGTTCCCCCAGCATCAGCTACCGCCGGGCCCAGAATCACCAGAGCCTTACCCCGGTCAGCAAGCTCCCGGTCCGGAGCCCTCGCAGCCACTACTGGAGCTGACACCCGAAACACCTGGCTCCCCCCGGGGTCAGCACGAGCCGAGCAAGCCACCTCCAGCTGGAGAGACGGTGACAGGCGTCTTCGGGGCAAAGAAGCGAAAAGGTTCTTCATCCCAAGCCCCAGCGTCCAAGAAGTTGAAGGAAGAGAAGCTTCCTGTGATCCCAAAGGGGAAGCCCAAATCGGGGCGAGTGTGGAAGGACCGCTCCAAGAAAAGGTGAAGTAGGGGACAGCATGGACAGGGGTGGGGTTCTTTTTAGTGTTGTGAACTTGCCTTTCCCTGCTGCAGCCTGGAGAACAGCCCCGGGGTTAGAGAGAGCTCACGTTAATGGGGGTGTCAGCAAACGGGTCATTACAGTCAGAATGTGGTAAAATGCCCTGGGATCCGGGGGCGGGTGGGACCAGGCCCTCAAAGATCAATTTCTCTGATGCCTTTCCTCCTCAGGGTCCCTATGGGCCTCTCCTGTAGTGCCTCAGTCGTGTATTCCTTCTGCAGACATTTACCGTTGTTTGCCCTCTCCAGTGAGGGAGGCAGAAGCAAGTAAACCAGCCATTACTTGATCAAAGCAGTGAGGTCTTCAATATAATCTGCTAGTTATTTGCCTTTATGATAAAAACTATTACTGAGAGCTGATTATATAGGACATAGTGCTAAGCACTTTAATAAGGATTTACCAGTCAACAGCCTTTCAAACATGGAACAGCGTGTACCATCACACTTACTCTGCACATCAGCCCTGTGAAGCAGGTGGTGTTATCATTCCTGTTTTTCTGTGTGAGGAAACCGAGGCTAACTGAGTGGTCAGCACAGGACCTGAGCACAGATCTGATTCTGAAGCCTATGTGCAAAACCCTTTACCCAATCGCAGTAGATCCACCTTGAATTGGATTACAACCTTCTTAAGGGCAGGCATGAGATCTTTCTTGTCTTTCTGTGCCAAGGGCATAGTAAATGCTCAATAAATGCTTGTTTAATGAAAGAACAAAGTGGCTCCTCTGAAGAAGGAAGAGTTTAGGCTGAACCGAGGCTAACTGAGTGGTCAGCACAGGACCTGAGCACAGATCTGATTCTGAAGCCTATGTGCAAAACCCTTTACCCAATCGCAGTAGATCCACCTTGAATTGGATTACAACCTTCTTAAGGGCAGGCATGAGATCTTTCTTGTCTTTCTGTGCCAAGGGCATAGTAAATGCTCAATAAATGCTTGTTTAATGAAAGAACAAAGTGGCTCCTCTGAAGAAGGAAGAGTTTAGGCTGAACCGAGGCTAATTGAGTGGTCAGCACAGGACCTGAGCACAGATCTGATTCTGAAGCCTATGTGCAAAACCCTTTACCCAATCGCAGTAGATCCACCTTGAATTGGATTACAACCTTCTTAAGGGCAGGCATGAGATCTTTCTTGTCTTTCTGTGCCAAGAGCATAGTAAATGCTCAATAAATGCTTGTTTAATGAAGGAACAAAGTGGCTCGTCTGAAGAAGGAAGAGTTTAGGCTGCCTTGAAGGAGAAGTGTGGGGTTCAATTCAATTGGAGCTAATGGGAACCGCAGGGGAGAGGCGGGGATGCGTGCCTGTGAGGGACCTTGAGGAAGGAGGGTGTCTAAGGAAGAAGCTGACTCTGGGCCAGGTTTTGTGCTAGGCCTTTTTCTTGTACCCTTAAAACCCTAGGCAGTGAATATTATCCCCCACCTCTCATTAAACAGAAGAAACTGAGGCTTCCGGAGTAATTTACTGCCAGTCTCCCATGAGAGAGAGACTTTGAAGCTAGAGTGACTGTCGATGTTGGAGAAGTGGATGATGGCACTACCCATCTGCCCTGTCCCAGCAGGTCACAGGAGAATGGCAGGGCCACTGATGGCCATGTGGAACTGGAGGAGGCTGGTTCAGGTGGGAGGAGGGTGATGAGCAGGTTGAGCGGTGGAGCCTGGGGTCCTGGTACTCAGCTGCAGGTGGGGAGACGGGCTTGCTGAGCTGGACAGGGCCGGGTCCACGCACAGGTGGGGAGAAGGGAGGGACCCGCACAAGACATGGGATCAGCAGCTGGAGGAGAGTAGGAGGCCACAGATCACTTGACCAAGAAGTCCGGAGGGAGGGTATGTGTACAGCTCCCTGCCCAACTGCAGACCCTTCCTGACTCACTATTGCTCGTTCAGAGCATGCACTCCAGCCTCCTTAATGAGGCCAACAGGCCCACCCTCCTCTTCCCTCCATCACTGGAGCTTCCACACCGACGTCCCTTCCATATTCCTCCCGTGTGACATTCCCTCCTTCCTCAGCACCTTCACATGTGCAGTTCTGTCTGAAAGGCTCTTCCCTGGCCAATCCCCCACTCATGTTTCAGGGCTCAGCTCAAAAGTCACCTCTGAAAAGCCTCTTTGGCCTGTCCCACCAGGGTTAAGTCCCCATGCTTTACGTCATCACTGTGCCCTGTACTTCTCCTTTGTAACACCTCCATTTGCACAGATGCTTATTTATTTGTGTGACTCTTACTGACTGCCTGTTTTCCTTTAAACCAGAGGCTCCATGAGAGTGGGGACTTGCCTATCATCATGAGATCTCCCAGAGCCCAGCACAGGGTAGGCACTAAGCTGAGCAAGTTATGAATGAGGACAGAGGTAGTTCATTCATCCCTCAACCAATTTCGTTCAACATGGCTGTGAACAAAAAGTCCCAGCTCTCCTGAAGCAAACATTCTAATTGTGGGAAACAGATAAAGATAAGGACATAGATGCTATTTCAGTACTAAAGGGTTTAAAGAAAAATAAACCAGGATGAGGACCAGAGAATAACAGGGAGGGCAGGGTATTGCCACAGTGCTCAGAGACGGCCTCGCAGAGGGAACCAGGGAGAGGTCTGGGGAAAGAGTATCGGGACAAGGAAAGGGAAGTTCAGAGGCCTTGAGCATCTCCTGTTTGGGAGGCATTCCAGAAATCCTGCTGCTGGAATGAGGGGGAGAAGGGGAAACAGTAGGAGATGAGGTCAGAGAGACAGCGGGGTGTGGTGACCCTTGCAGGGACTCCAGCTTTCTGAGCTTGGGAGCCATGGGAGCGTATCAAGCCAAGCAATGAAATGACCTGCCTTGGGAGGTCAGTCTGGCTGCTGAAAATAGACCTAGGCGGGCAGGAGGGAAGCAGGGAAACCACAAGGAGGCTGTGGAAGGAGAACTACCGCCGCTTCACAAGCTGCAGGCAGGTCTGTGGAGAAGGCCCAGCCGGGCCACTGAATGGATGTTTGGGGTCTTCGAGGGAGCAGCTTCTGTGTGTGGCAAGTGAGCCCAGAGGTTAGTCGGAAGCAGCACCCGCTGCAGGGAGGAAGACAGCCGCAGCCGGGAAAGTGCCTGTGGTGGGGAAGACCCGCCTGCAGCCCTGCCTTCGTGCTCATGCCAGACCCCACCTTCTCCATAGTGCCCCTCAGGCACACTGGCTCCCTTCTCTGAGGAGGAGCATTTATTTATTTTATTTATGTATTTTTTTTGAGACGGAGTTTCACTCTTGTTACCCAGGCTGGAGTGCAATGGCACAATCTCAGCTCACCGCAACCTCTGCCTCCTGGGTTCAGGCAGTTCTCCTGCCTCAACCTCCTGAGTAGCTGGGATTACAGGCACGTGCCACCATACCCAGCTAATTTTTTGTATTTTTAGTAGAGACAGGGTTTCACCACGTTAACCAGGATGGTCTCGATCTCTTGGCCTCATGATCCACCCGCCTCGGCCTCCCAAAGTGCTGGGATTACAGGCTTGAGCCACCGCACCCGGCTGGAGGAGCATTTATTGAGCACCTATTATGTGTGTGTCGATGACATCTCCCATTACCCTTTGGATTAGGAATGATTCTCATCTCCACTGGCGAGACTGCTCAAGGTCACCTGAGTGCTAAGTGGTTGGACTCGGAACCCAGGCCTGAGTTCCCTCAGTACCCAGGTGAACCGGTGATCTGCCTCGGTTCTGCACAGAGTCAGTACCTTAGCCACCAGCCACATGTGGCTGTGTACATTTACATTAAATCACATTTAAGATTCAGTTTTTCTGGCAACACCAACCACATTCCCAGCGCCCAGCATTCACCCATGACTAGTGGCTACCTTACTGGGTCGTGTCCATGTAGAATGCTCCCACCATCACAAAAGGTTCTGTGTGACAGCCCCGCTCTACAGAGACACAGCGCCGTGTCCTGGGTGCTATGTGTCTCCAGCCTCCCACCGCCTTGTCCCTTCAGGGTTCTCATACCCCAGCTTGGGAAGCCCAGCTTTACAGTTATGGGGGACGTCCCCATGGTGCCCCATTCTTAGTGCATAAGAAGCCAGGGCTTCAGAGGCAGGGCCTTGGGAAGGGGAGGAGATCAGAGAGCTGGGGCCACAGGTCACTAGGGCCAAGGGACACCAAAATGCACCTCGAATCTTTAAAAGAGAAAGACCTAACTTCAGTATGTGGAGGCCACCAAGAGACTCTCATCTTGTTGTTACTTATTCTTATGGAAATTTCCAAGCAGACAAAGAGCAGAGCTCTAAAGTCCTCATTAGCAGCATCAGCACAGCTCAGCATTTTACTAGTCTAGCTTCATCTTTGATCCTTGGCATTTTTTTCCCTGAAATATTTTAAAGTGCATCTTAGACACCTTATCCCATCCATAAATCCTTGCAGTATGCATTCTTTTTTTTTCTTTTTTTTTTTTTTTTTGAGACAGAGTTTTACTCTTGTTGCCCAGGCTGGAGTGCGATGGCACCATCTCGGCTCACCGCAACCTCAAGTCTCCCAGGTTCAAGCGATTCTCCTGCCTCAGCCTCCCGAGTAGCTGGGATTACAGGCATGTACCACCACACCAGGCTAATTTTGTATTTTTATTTGAGACGGATTTTCTCCATGTTGGTCAAGCTGGTTTTGAACTCCTGACCTCAGGTGATCCGCCTGCCTCAGCCTCCCAAAGTGCTGGGATTACAGGCGTGAGGCACTGCGCCCGGCTTACGGTATGCATTCCTACAGAGATGAGCTTAGTTCTTCCGTAACTCTAAAATCATTGTCGCTCTTAAGAAAATTCAGATTTCCCTGAGAGCCCTGATGTGCCCACTCCATCCATGTCCAGCTGGGGGAAGAGATTCTTTTTTTTTTTTTTTGAGGCAGAGTGTTGCTCTGTCTCCCAGGCTGGAGTGCAGTGGCATGATCTCGGCTCACTGCAACCTCCACCTCCTAGGTTCAAGCAGTTGTGCTTCGGCCTCCCAAGTAGCTGGGATTACAGGCATGCACCATCACACCCAGCTACTTTTTGTATTTTTAGTAGAAACTTTTTTAGTAGGTTTTGCCATGTTGGCCAGGCTGGTCTCCAATTCCCAGGCTCATGTGATCTGCCCACCTTGGCCTCCCAAAGTGCTGGGATTACAGGGGTGAGCCACGCCTGGTCTTGGTGGGGAGGATTCTGAATCATTACCCAGAACTCCGACCACTCACAAGACTCTGAAATGGGGCGCCCCACCTCCAGAGGCATTCACACCCAGGCCAAATGCACTTGGCGGAAGACACAGAATTTTACAGCAGGGGCCGCGTGGCCTGGACTCTGCAGTCTCTGGCAGGGTTCGAGTCCTGGCTGCCACTTAGGACATGGTGTCTTCGGGCAGCTTTTAACTTCTCCACACCTTGGCTTGCTCCTCTGTAAGTGGAGAGGATAGGAGTACCCACCTCAGAAGCATGTAGACAAGGCTTGAGAAATGGCAGCCAGCATGATCAGGGTTCCTTCCCACCCCATGTTTCTGCAGACCTGGAGGGCTGCCTGTCAGGCCAGCAAGGAGGTGGTTCCACCTGGGCTCTGGGGAAGAACGTTCAGAGCCTGCAGCCGAGAAGAGCCAGGGTGTGGGTGGCGCTTGCCCCACAGACCCTATAAGCACCCCCTCTACCCCTTTCAGATTCTCCCAGATGCTCCAGGACAAGCCCCTGCACACATCGTGGCAGCGGAAGATGAAGGAGCGGCAGGAGAGGAAGCTGGCCAAGGACTTTGCCCGTCGCCTGGAGGAGGAGAAGGAGAGGCGCCGCCAGGTGAGGGGCCAGCCAGGCTGAGGCTGGGGCTCAGAGGGCCATGCTGATGTCTGCTGGGACAGACCTGAGGGGGGGGCTTCCATGCGTGCCTGCGGGACGCAGGTTAAGAAACATTCTTGAATCTGAAGGCTCCAGGGAGGAAGGGCGACTGGCCAGAAGCAGAAGTACAGTCCGCAGCCACGGGGAAGGGAGCCCAGGGGACCATCCACGATAGTCTAGGCCTCTGAAAGAGCCTCAGGGACAGGGACAGAGGACCACAAGCGGGCCTCAGGGAGAAGCCCAGGAGGAAGCCCCGGGTGGTAGGGCAGTCAGCGAGATGGCGTCCAGGTCCCTTTCCTGGGAGATGGCGTCAAGGTCCCTTTCCTGGGACCTACTCATTTGGGAAGGGCTTGCAGATTGGAAATCCACGTCCCCGGTATGGCTGCTGTCATTCTCCAAGAAGCAGCCACCACCCCAGCAACACACATGGCCCCCACGCCTTTCCTCCCCTTCTGTTCCCTGTCACTCATCCCAGAGCCAGGAAGCCCCTGTGAAGGGTCACAGCCTCACCCACATCTGCCAGGCTCTTTTCAGGGTGGGGAAGAGGGCACTCGGCAGGCAGCATGCAGAGAAAGCGGGGTGGCGTTAGTGGGCACCTGCCCCCAGGGGAGGCAGGCAGTTGGGGGGCTCCTCCACTCCTCTAATGACCCCAGGGCTAGAGGAGGAGTGCTGAACGGGATTCAGACAACTCACCCCTAGCCTGTGGTCCCAGCCTGGCCACTGAGAAAAGGAGCGGGCCAGTCACTCAGTCACCCGTCACCCACTCTGAGTCAGCCCAGTTCAGCTTACAGCTGACATCCTAGGAACGGTGTGTCTGCCACCGTATGCTGAGGCCTTATCTCTCTTCCTGTGTGGCCTTGGCTCCCTCTTGGGCAAGACAGAGCTACTGTCCCGCTTCTCATTGTCCACTGCAGAGGCTCCTGCCCAGACCTGCCCTGACCGCAGGAGCCCAAGGCTCACTCACTTCTCCTTTCCCCGCAGGGGCCTAGGCTACCCCTGCTACTCCAGGTCGCCAAAGCCACCAGAAACCCCTAACCATGCAGCAGACTTGGAGCCAGTGTCCCCGCCCTGGCTCTACCAGGGGACACACAGTCCAGGAGCGCTGGGTGTCCCCTCCCAAGACAGACTCCATCTAGAGTCTCACTGTGCCCAAGGGGCTGGAGCTGCTCCAAGCCCTGCACACACATTTCCTCCCTTATCTCTCAAAACTATCTTATGAGGTAGATCCTGTGGTCACTGTCACTTTAAAGATGGAGAAGCTGAGGCACAGACTTAGCCAAGGTCACGGGTTTAGGAAATAACAGGATCAAGATTCGAATCCAGGCCAGAGAGCTCCCGGGAGTCTTCTGTGCAGCACAGCCCTGCCCAGCCCCACACCTTCCAGGATCTTGGGGACCAGCCCTCACCCTAGCCTGGCTTTCTGCACAGCAGCACTTCAGGAGAAGCAGAGACTTTCCAGAGGGTGGGAATGGGGAAGGGCCAGCTCCCCTTTCTCTCTTGGCAGTTGATGAGAGTGGCATGAAGGGCCACTGTCTGCATGTGTGTCATCTCCAGATGGGCACCTCCCGTGTCTCAGCCCACCCAGGCCTCCTGGCTCAGCCCGTCCTTAACGGCCTGTCCTGTCCCCACCTCCCAACATGCAGTCAGGAGCTTCCACCACAGCGGGCCCTGGCACGAGACCATGGCCCGGGATAGCTCCCATGGCCCTCCACCCACACCACCCACCTGTAGCCTGGCTTAGAGGGCCCTTCCCCCTCCTCCTGGGAATTCTGTCCACTCCTACTCTTCTGGGGCCTGAGAGACCAGGGCCGCCTCTGCTCCCAGACTCAAATCCCCTTTCCCCCAAATGTTCCAGGAGAAGAAACAGCGCCGCGCTGAGAACCTGAAACGCCGCCTGGAGAATGAGCGGAAGGCAGAGATTGTCCAAGTGGTGAGTGTTTCGTTTTCCCCCACCCTCTGCCCCACTTGGGGGTGCAAACCAGGGCCTCGATCCCTGCTGCATGTGTCCCCACTGTCACGCTGCGTTCCCAGGCCCTTGTGGGGTGGCCTTCTTCTCCCCTGGGAACTTGGACCGAGGCTGCAGCCGCACTAATGCCCTACCCTCACACCACCCCCAGATCCGAAACCCTGCAAAGCTCAAGCGGGCAAAGAAGAAGCAGCTGCGCTCCGTTGAGAAGCGGGACACCCTGGCCCTGCTGCAGAAGCAGCCACCCCCTCAGCCGGCAACCAAGATCTGAGCTCGGGACAGCCGAGGCCTTCCATGGCCAACTACCATGCCAGACACAGCACCTCCAGCCACTGTTCAGACGCCTCTGCTGGCGCCAGCATTCCAGCCCCATGGCTCCAAAACAGGGACCCCACCCCGACTGGGGCTCTGGGGCCTTTGAAGGCTTGCAGGCAGGTCTATGTGGGACACAAGCCCAGAGGGGGCCTGGGACCTGGCAGAGATGTGGGTGAGAAGAGAATCAGCCCCTATTCCTCCTTCCTCCCCTTCTCCAAGTGCCTTCAAACCAAGAACAGTACGTTCTTCTGGTTCCTCAGTGAGCTGGTGACTGGCAGGTGGCTCCCCCAGTGGTATGTGTCTTGTTTTAGCGTCCTGGGTCCATCCCAGGCCTGGAGGCTGGAAGTTGGGAATCCCGCTTCCCCTACACCTTCCCAAAGGCTGCTCTGGGCACCTCTGCACCCCACTGTCTCTGTCCCCAGCAAGCTGAATCCGGCTCCCCATCTTCAACACTGAAACATTAAAAGGGGGAGGTTGCAGGGAACAGGGTTTTTCCCTAGCACCCCCTCTCCCAAACCAGGTTCTGCAGAAGCCCCAGAGAATCTAACTCCTGTCTGTCCAGTCCACAGCACAAATATTTATTGAGTGCCTGTTGCCTACAGGCACAGTCCTAGGCACCAGCAAATACATACAGTAGAACAAAGTCCCTGCCCTCAAGGTGCTTTCATTCTGATGGAGAGAAAACATAATAAACAAGCAAAATGTACCACATGTCAGATGGGGGAAGTGCTGTGAGGGGGAAGGGATGGGAGGGAGCATGAGCGAGTTGTCAACACGGGGTGGCTGTGCAGCCAGCTGGGCACCTCACTGTTTCCTTTGCTGAACACCTGCTGTGGGCCAGGCCTTCCATGACCTGGGCCTTTTGTGGCACAAAAACACAGAACCAAGATCCCCAGAGCTTCTCATCTGCTTTTTTCACTGATGTTTCATCCACCCTGCAACATTCATTGGCACCAACTCTGTCAGTCCTGGGCTGCAGAGCTACAACACAGCAGTCTCTGACCTCAAGTCCGTGGCAGACAGAGGAATGAGACGCGGTGCAGTGGAAGTGCCAGGTCAGAGATGCAAGTTACCCCTCCTACCCACAAATGGGAAATGGTAGCTGCGCAGCCCAGTGCGTGCTAGAGATGGGGGCTGCACAGATCTTGGGATTACCACTGTCCAGAGGGATCCCACAGAACAGCAGGCCTGCAGGGAATTCTGGTCAGCTTGGCTAAGAAATGACATGCTGTGGTCTCAGAGCTGCTGTGCCCATTCGAATTCTAAAGACCAAAGACGTTTAGTCATTTTGCCCGTTGGATTTGATTAGCCCCAGGTTTCCCGAGAGATTGACCCTGGCATCCCCTGCTTCTGCCTTGGAAGTACCTTGGGCAGTGATGGGTCACGAGGTAGCGTCTTAAGTCCCTCAAGTAGCTCAGAGGATGTCCTCGATCACCGGAGGGTAATTGAGCAAGTGATGCCTGAGGTTACGAGTTTCTCTAGCCCTGAAACTGGGCAAGCCAGTTAACCTCCTGAGCCGCAGTGTGCTCAGCTGTAAAGACGCTAATAGAAGCTGTCCCTTAAGATTGTGGAATAAAGCATCTAGCACAGTAAACGTTGGCTAAATGCAGAGGGCAGGCTCGACCTGTGCTTCTCAAAGCTTTCCTCTCTTCAAAAACACATGTATCCCGTTTCAGGTAAAACCCCACCCCATCATCTGTTAAAATTGAGCTCCAGGGAGACGCACCCGGAGTGCCCTTCCGACTCCACTGCCCTAGTCTGGGAAGTCATTATTAGGAGTTTCACTTTGCGTTACTCCAGGCCTCTGGGAACCTGCGGCCCTGGCTTCGCGGCCTGGGATCTTGTGAAGTGCAGACTCTGAGCACCGGCCCGGCCCCCTGAATCAGACTGCACTTTAACAAGACCCCTCGGTGATTCACAGGCGCATCAAAGCTCAAGATGCACTCCTTTAACTCACTGTTTCTTAAAAAAAAAAAAATTCAGTCTCCCCAGGCGCTTTAAAATGTGGACACCTGGGTCCCGCCCCTCGGACGTTTTGATCTCCGCGGCTGGAGTCCGGGTATCAAGTCGAACCGCGGCGTCCTGGTGATGCTTTCGCGCGTGAGCGCTGCCCTGCCCGGACGGGGTTCTAACTCGAGGCGTTGCTCGGCGCCCGGTCCCGGGGGCTCCTCTGCGGGGACGCTGTGCAGCCGCCCAGCAGCCAGCCGAGGAGGCGCGTCGGGCCCCGCGAGGCCTGGGGGCGGCTGTGGAGCGCGAGAGGGGAGGCCGAGCGAGCGGTGGAGGGCGTGCGGCGGCGGCGGCGGCGGCTGTTGCCCGAGCCACCCAGCTCGCTGTCGTCCACCAGCACGCTCTCCAGCACCGCGCGCAGCGAGCGCCGCAGCTTGCGCAGCATGTCGGGGCAGGTGAGCACGTAGAGCACCGGGTTGGCCACGCTGTTGAAGAAGGCCAGGCTGGTGACGAAGGGCAGCCCGCGCCACACGAGCTGCCGCAGCCCGGGGTCGGAGTGCGCCCGCGCCTCCAGCAGGCTGAACACGTGGTAGGGCCCCCAGCAGAGCGCGAAGGCCGCCACGACCGCCGCCACCAGGCGCACGAAGCGGCTGGGCTGCCGACGGCCGCGGTGGTGCAGCTGCAGGCTCACGGCCGCGTGGCTCAAGGCGATGATCACCAGCGGCACCAGGAAGGCCAGCAGGAACTTGCTGACGGCCAGGGCCGCTTGGCGCGAGTTGCACGTGGCGTCTCGGTCAGGCCCCGGATTCAGGAGCAGCACGTTGTAGTAGCACATGATGCGCCCGTCCAGCCGCGAGATGGTGTCTCGGAACACGAAATAGGGCACCGTGTTGAGCAGCGCTAGCGCCCAGAGCACCAGGCAGACTTTGTGAGCCGCCGCCACTGTGCGGTGGTTCTGTGCCCACACCGGCCGCACCACCTGCAGGCAGCGGTCCAGGCTGATGGCGCTGAGCAGGAAGCCGCTGGCGAACATGTTGAGAAAGAAAATGGAGGAGTGCAGTTTGCAGAAGGTGGTGCCCAGCTCCCACGAGTGGCCCACGGCCAGGAAGTAGGTGAAGAAGGGCAGGGAAGCAGACGCCAACAGGTCGGACAGCGCCAGGTGCAGCACCCAGGTGGTGACCACGGTCTGGCGCATGCGGCAGCCCACCACGAAGAGGATGAGTCCATTCTCCACCAGGCCCAGGACCGAGGCCAGCCCGTGCAGTAGCACGGCCGCGTGGTCGATGTAGCGGATGCTGGTGTTGCTGTGGCTCTGGAGACGGCTCATCTGCTCTAGGATGGGGCAGAGCGGCTTCAGCGTGACGTTGGCCGACATCATGGGGCTCTGCGGTGGAGGGAAGGAAGCACCTAGGTTGACAGTGCAGGGGCCACGGGGGAATGAAGAGAGGGGCCTGGAGTGGGACCCTCCCCAGGAGAGGCCAATGTGACCCACAAATATACTGGGCGGCCGGGGGTGGGGGGATAACACCCCGGGATTGCTGTGCAACATTGGGCAGGTCATTCAACCTTCCTGAGCCTGTTTCTTCCTGTGTAACTTGGACATCAGTCATCACAGCCCCTAGCACAGAGAGTTACTGGGAGAGTTAAGTGAGTTAATACAGTAAAGCGTTTATTTAGCACACAGCAAGTGCTATATTAGTGTCATTGTGATGATTATGAAGCAAATAGTCTAAGATCACACAGAGATATAGGAACAAGGTCAGGCCATGCCAGTCCCCAGAGCACTGGGTGGGGGTGGGAGGCAGTGAAGGAGGCCCCACATGTAGGGCAGGAGGGTTCTGCTGGCCTGGGGGATGGGGATGCTGCCCCTTCCCACCCACAGCACCACCAGACCTTGCCTCTCTGCAGATCCTCCATGCAGCTCCCCACACTCAGTGGTGGCTGGGTAGATGTGTTGACCATGAACAGGGGGCCAGCCCCGTTCTCTGATGGTTGGAGAGGAAATAAGATAAGAGCCAGGAGAGGTGGGTAGGAGGAACTCTCACATGGGGTTCTGGAGGCCCAATGGGGCCAAAAGATCTCTCCCCTCTCGGGGGGCAGCCACAGCAGCTCTCTCTCTGTCCCAGGAAACCCACCGCTGTTCATTCACTTACTCCCTCATGCACTTATCCAACAAATAAGACATGCATGCTCACACCCTCATTGAAAGCCTGAAAGACCATCAGATGTGAACCTGGTCACGACCGGTGAGGACTGAGGAAATTGCATGAGGCTCCATGCAGGAGGTAGAGGGCAGGTAGCAGGGGACGGGAACTCAGGTTGTCCTGGGCACTGCTGACACTCCAGGTACTGTGGTCGGTCCTTCACATAGGTGCTGTCTTTCTGGCTCTAGAAGAAAGGTGCTAGTACTCCATCCCATTTTATAGATGATAAAACTGAGCCTCAAGGGGTTAAATAGCTTGTCCAGAGCCACCCAGACAGCACAGATGTGGAGAAGCAAGTTTCATGCCCGCCTGTGCTCTTTCCTCTACCCCTACTCCAAGGAAGAGAGGATGGAGGAGGAAGAGAAGGACAGCAGGCAAGGCGAGCAATGGTCTTCAGTACTTATCTTTCTAGGGAAAACATGGTTAGCCATGATGAGAAAACCCACTCCCTTCCAGAGACCACAGTCCTTTTATAGGGTGGGGTCCTGGGATATCAAACTAGAATTTTGCTGGCAGATGAGCTCCCTGGAGCTGGGGATCTGCAGATAGAAGAGGAGTCTGTGCTTCCTGACAATGGGCACACTTCCTAAGCTTCGAAGTGTGCAGTGCAGTTACGCTTGCAACAAACCTATGAGACCCCATTTTTCAGAAGAAGAAACTGACAAAGTTCAGAGAAGCACAGCAATTTGCCCAGCGCTCCCCAGCTGCAGCAGTGGGCCGGGACTTCACTCCCAGCAGGCAGCCAAGGGCCATCCCCTCTGCCCTGAAACATTCCCTGCAGGCCAGCTGCTGCTTATCCAAGTCCCATAGGGATGATCAGAGAGCACAGTCTTGCTACGCTTTGGAACCACCAGATCAGTCCTTCTGAGTCTGTGGAGACAGCCACCAGCCTCCCAGGATTGACAGCCCAGCAGCTAAGGTCCAGCTTTGGCAGGTTAAAAAAAAAAAAAAAAAAAGGAGAGGGGGGGTGGACAGAGAGTGCAAGCTTGTGGGAGTCCAAGACCTGGGTTTGAACCCCAGCTCCTCCGCTTCCTGGCTGCGTGAACTTGGGCCAGTCACCCTAAGCCTGCTGGTGTCGTCTTCCCACATAGACTGCTGGTGAATATTGACAGACAGTTGAGTGGTTTACCCTGGTACCTAGCATTGAGTTAACGCCTAAGAAAACTTGGTCCGTGCCTCCTCTGGGTATCAAGTCCCCTCCAATCTTTGGTAAACTCAACCTTCTGCCATCCTAGCTAGTAACAGCCCTCTCACCTAGTAAAACTTTGCCTTCTGTGGGTGCAGAGAGGGTATTAGGCTGCTCAGCCCCTGGGCCACTGCCTCCTTACCTGGGCACAGAGGGGTCACAGGATTCCAGCCCTGGTGGCCGTCAGCTCCTGACAGCAGCTAGACAAGAGGCAGCAGGCAGGCAGAGGCAGCAGAGGGAGGCTGAGAGAGGAAATAGCTGTCAGCCCCAGTGCATGTGTGTTTAGGGGTGGGGTGGAGTAGGAGGAGGCGGGGACAGCTGGAGAGTGAGTTGTCACACAAGTGTTCAAATATCATCAATCTCCATCAGTGCCGGCAGCCCTGCTCCACCCACCCCCACTTCATGACGGAGACTGAAGAAACCCAGAGGGTGGGGCAAGTGCACGTGAAAAAACCAATGTATGCAAGAGAGTGTGAGCCCAAGTGTGCGTAGGGGTGTGCTTTTGAGTGACCAGTGTGTAGGGTAAGTGCATGAGGAGATTGGCTCATCTGTCTGTGCACTCTTCCTGGGCTGCTGTCTCCTGACACCATAATCCTCAGAGAAGAAAGCCCTCTGGCTCTTCTGAGTTTCCCAGGCAGATTCGGGGGCCTGTCCATGAGGGACCTGAGGGGTCTCAGGCCAGGAGAGTACAGTGGGGAAGTGAGAGCAGGAGGTAGAAGGCCGGCCAAGAGGTCAGGCGCTTCTGTTTGCTGAGCCCTGGGGGTTGTCATCTGTGAGCAGGAGCAGTAACATCTGCTTTATGGGCTGTGGCACGGGTCGAATGACATGGATGATACAAAGCTCCCAGCACACAGTTAATGTTTATAAAAATCAGCTTCCTTCCCCTCTGAGGGAAAAACGAATATAGGCTCTAAGGCAAAGGTCATATAGCTTTTATTTAAAACAGGCTCAATTTTGGGAGGCCAAGGCAGACAGATCATTTGAGGTCAAGGAGTTCGAGACCAGCCTGGCCAACATGGCAAAACCCCGTCTGGACTAAACATACAAAATTTAGCTGGGCGTGGTGGCACACGCCTGTAATCCCAGCTACTTGGGAGGCTGAAGCACGAGAATCGCTTGCACCTGGGAGGCGAAGGTTGCAGTGAGCGAAGATCACGCCACTGCACTCCAGCCCGGGTGACAGAGTAAAAACTCTGTCTCAAAAAAAAATTGAAATTGAAATTTTTTTAAAATGGCTCAAAGCCCTAGGATAAGAGAGGTTTGCATTTTAGTGTTTCCTAACTCCTGACTCTCATTTGCTGATCAAGCTTCCTGGGGTCAGCACTATCCCTTCGACCTCAGCATCTCAGCACCTAATAGATACTCATTAAAACACGTTAAGGGCCGGGCACGGTGGCTCAAGCCTGTAATCCCAGCACTTTGGGAGGCCGAGATGGGTGGATCATGAGGTCAAGAGATCGAGACCATTCTGGTCAACATGGTGAAACCCCGTCTCTATTAAAAATACAAAAAATTAGCTGGGCATGGTGGCGTGTGCCTGTAATCCCAGCTACTCAGGAGGCTGAGGCAGGAGAATTGCCTGAACCCAGGAGGCGGAGGTTGCGGTGAGCCAAGATCGCGCCATTGCACTCCAGCCTGGGTAACAAGAGCAAAACTCTGCCTCAAAAAAAAAAAAAAAAAAAAAACACGTTAAGAACTCAATAGCCCTATATCAAGGCAAAGGCACCTCCCGTGGGATGGACCCCACAAGCATCTTCCATTTAGACTGAGGCTTAGTGCAGAGCCCGATGCATAATAAACTCTTGCTGAGAGACTCCCATAAGGAATGGAAAGTGAAGGAAATGTTATGCCCTTGTGATGGGGATGATACATCTCATTGTAGCCCAATATGGCAGATCAGTAAGTGCCTTAGTCACTTAAGATATACATCACTAGCAATAGGAAAAGGTCTCCTCTCCCCGAGGTCAGGGAAGGCTTGACTTCCTAAGACAAATGCCTGCAGCCCTCCAGAGAAAATAGGTGGATGATTCCTTTCCGCGTGGGGAACATGCCCTCTTTTCCGCCCACCCCAGCACCCAACCCACTGAACCACAGACAGGATCGTGTGTTTCTGGTCTGCACACAGACCATGTCAGACCGTGGTTAAGCCACACTCCGGCTGCAGGCCTTAGTCCCTAAAACACAATCTCCTCCAAGGCTTGGAACTCAACTTCAGAGCCAGGAAGAATGGAGGTCGGGTCCCTTGCTGGGACTCTGGGGCCAGATTGCCAGTGTTTGGATGCCACTGCCACTCCCCAGCTATGAGACCTTGGGCAAGTAACTTCACAGCAGTAAAATATGAACTTTAAAAGCTGCTCCTTCTGCCAAGAAGGGCTCCAGTCCCAGCCCCAAGGGACAGGGTTTGGGGCCCAGATTTCTCTTTAGACTAAGAAAAAGAATCACCCCTTCTCCACCGCCCCGCCCCACCCCACCCCACAGACACATCTCAGCACCAGGGCATCAGGCTTGAGATAAGGCACAGCCCTTCCTCCCGATCTCATCCCACCCCTACCCCCTCCACTGGTGCCCTTGTGCAGTGAACATCCCACACAACCTCTCCTGGCAGCCCTGTTGAGATGCTTCTTTTCTGGCTAAAAAACCCTTACTCATCTGCCCCTTCTCAGCCCTTGTTTCCAGTCCTGTAATCACTGCTGTGGCTCATGTCCAGACCTCTCTGAAGAAAATTTATTGCTAAATAAACAAAAAAAAGTGACTAAGCTTAATGAAGTTACCAAAACAAACCAAAACAGTACTCCAGATGAGCAGGACCCAAAGGCATTTTCTGAAGAAGAAGAAGAAGGCAGTGACGTTCTCGGGCCTCTGGGATGTACTCCCAGTGGAAATGGCCTTCCCACACGTATTCAGACAATCCTGAGTCCCACAGCCTCCACGGTGGAGGACACCAAGGGCAGGAAGTCCGGGGGGCAGGATGTAGGCCTTGCCTCCACCCCTGGGGTTCCAGAACCGAGAGCCAATGCTTGGTCCTCGGAGAGGAGGGGAAGGGTTTTGTGAGTGAACAGCAGCAGTAGGGACCCTGGGCCAGGGCTCACTGGCTGGGAGCAGAGGACAGGAGCCTCCAACCGACCAGGTCACACCTGCTCAGCCTGAGTCTAAGAATAAGAAAAGCAAATCGGCACCTTTGTGGCTATCTCCAGGTGTCAGGCCTGTGCTGGGGATACAAGAAAGGCACCAAGACTGACTCCTTACTCTCATTTGCTGATCAAGCTGCCTGAGGTCACCACCGTCCCTTCAATCTCAGCACCTAATAGATACTCATTAAAACATGTTAAGAACTTACTATCCCCATATCAAGGCAAAGGCACCTCGCATAGGATGGACAGCACAAGCGTCTTCCATTTAGACCTAGGCTTAATGCAGAGCCTAGTAAACTTGCTGAGAGACTCCCATCAGGAGTGGGAAATGGGCCTCACAGAGCTCAGAATCCAGAGGAGGGTGACCGGGCCTTGGACAAGGGTCCCAAATACACAGACAAGGGATTTTCAACTTGAATCTGTATCCAAGTCACTTGCAGGGTTGTTAAGCCCCAGTTGCTGAGCCCCAATCCCAGAGTGTCTGATCCAGCAGGTCTCAGTAGAGCTGCCTGGGAATGTACATCCCTACCAAGTTCCCAGGGACACTGATGCTCCTGACCAGGGACCGTACTGAGGACTGAACCACTAGAATGGAGAACGGTGGGGTCCTCGGGTCTGGGGAACTGCCGTCTCCACCCTGGTCACCAGCAGGGCTGTTTAGCCAAGGAGCCTGCACGACCACCTCCGCTCTCTGAACCTGTGCCCTCGTCTCCACTGTGAGGATTAGAGATGATAAGCCACATGCTCAGCTCCGGGCTAGGCACAGCGTGAGGACCCACGTGCCAGCTGCCATCATTATTTTTTCTTGGGGTCTTCTTTCAGCAAGGACGCTGATGGGAGAACATCAGTGATAAGAGGTTGAGCCTCCCTGGAGCAGTGAGAGAGTAAGTGGGGAGAAGATGACCCAAGCCTTGGGCCTTCTGATCTGAAGAGTAGGCTGGGCTGGGCTGGCCTGAGTGCCTGCAAAACCCTTCAGCCTGGCCTCTCTGAGAGATGGGGGAGAGGGCAGGGTCTGATCTTCATCCTGAGCCATGCCCTGCCTTATCCCCTGCCTGTGTCCCTCAGGACTGGGAGAACGATGCAGCCACACTCAGGCCCTAGTCCCTAAAGCACAACCTCCTCTAAAGCTTGGAACTCAACATCAGAGCCTGAAACAGCAGAAGTCAGGTCCCTCACTGCATCAGCACCATCTTCCGCCACAGAGGAGACAAATCTGAGCCTGTCACTTCCTGGCACAGGGACCTCTGCTGCATCTCTGTTGTCCATGGGAGCTGTCCAGATTCCCAACCTAGCACTGATGGCCTTTCAGGATCCAGTCCACCAACCATCAGTCCCAACACGCCCTTCCTCATGTCCACAGCTACCCCATCCTTTCTTTCCCACCTCCATGCCTTGGCACGTGCTGCTGCTGCTGCTGCTGCTGCTGCTGCTGCTGCTGGGAATGCCTTTCCCTCCACTACTCATCCTGCAGGACCCCTTTCTGAGACCATCAATGTCACTAGGTTCTCAGAGGATACTTACAGCATCAATGTTTAACAAATACAGCCAAGGGAGCGAGGGAGTGGAGAAGGGACTGATGGCCCCCCAGGCACAGGGCCCAGTCCAGATGGGCTTTCTTCTCCCTCTGGCCCTACCTTAGGAGGAGGATTTTAATGTTCCTTTCTGGCCACTTTAAAGAAGTCAGTGAAACAGGAAGTGAGAGGCAAGGCAGGAAGCAGGGTGAAGCCTACCCTGGGATCCTCCAGCCCCTTGCTCAGAGGCCCTCGGGCTACCCACACCCAGCAGAGGAGCAGCATGGCAGGGCCCCAAATGACACCTTGGGGAGGCCCAGGTTGGGTTCCCTGGTGCCACCGTCACCCACAGGACTCGTCGCATGGCCAACAAGCCCCTCGGTGATCTGTCCCACCCAAGCCTCCCCCAGCATTACTGCTACTCCCAAGTGTCAGCCTGTCATCAGCCAGCACTCACCACTGTCCCCTCCTGTTCTAGGCACACCAGGCTGTTTCTGTGCCCTAGCTTATGCTGCCTGTACTCTGCTCTGGAATGCCTTTTCTTCCCTTGGCCTCTCAGTGAACTCCTATTCATACTTCAAAACCCTGGTTAGAGGTTGCCTCCTCTGGGAAGCCTTTGCTGATTCTCTCAGACAGATCCACATGCTGTCCCTCCCTCCCATATCTCCACTTCACTTGACCTGCAGCCCCTTTGTCCTCCCTCGTAACCATTTTTCACACAACTGTTCACCACCCTCATGAGCCACCTGAAGACACAGACTCATTCCTACTTTATCTCCTCACCTCCAAAAGCAAGCAGAGGGCCTGATCCCAGCAAATATTTGCTGAACAGAATGAATCTCTAAAATTGGCTTCCATGTGCAGACCCCAAAGGACCCCCGTCCCTCAACATGACCGATTCTGGAACCTTTTTTTTGAGACTGAGTCTTACTCTGTTGCACTGTCTTGACTCACTGCAACCTCCGCCTCCCTGGTTGAAGCAATTCTCTTGCCTCAGCCTCCCGAGTAGCTGGGACTACAGGTGTGCACCACCACGCCCGGCTAATTTTTGTATTTTTAGTAGAGATGGGCTTTCACCATATTGGCCAGGCTGGTCTCGAACTCCTGACCTCAGGCGATCTGCCCACCTCAGCCTCCCAAAGTGCTGGGATTACAGGCCTGAGCCACCATGCCCGGCCCCATTCTGGAACCTTTCTTGCCCACGGTCTGGTGCGTTCTCCATGGCTCTGTCTTCACCGGCAGTGGGTACAAACTTGGGGATGAATAACTTTATATTCGGAAGGAAGACAAGAAGGCAGAGCAGACAGAGGCAGCCCTGGCCTGGGCTCAGGGACACACGTGTGCCAGGCAATCCTCACAGAAGGTGTACTTGTTTCCTCAGGCTGTCAGAACAAACTACCACAAACTTGGCAGCTTTAAACAACAGAGACTTATTCTCTCACAGTCTGGAGGCCAGAGCCTGAAATCAGATTTCAGCACTTTCTCCAAAACCTCTAGAAAATAAGCCCTTCTTGGCCTCTCCAGCTTCTGGTGGTTCTGGGCGTCCCTTGGTTTGGGGCTGCAGCCCTGTGATCTCTACCTCCTCTTCACCCAGCCTCCCGCTTCCTGTTTTCACGTGTCTCTCAGAGTACTGAGCACTGGACTTAGGGCCCATCTGGGTCATCCAGGGTGCTCTCATTTTGAGATTCTTAAATCAATTACATCTGCAAAGCCCTCTCATCCAAAGAAGGTCACATTCACGGGTTCCAGGGGTTATGTTGTGGACATGTATTTTGAGGGCCACCATTCAACACACTGAAAGCAGTAAGAGCTGCCAGGCGCAGTGGCTCATGCCTGCAATCCCAGCACTTTGGGAGGCCAAGGCGGGCAGATCACTTGAGGTCAGGAGTTCAAGACCAGCCTGGCCAACATGGCAAAACCTCATCTCTAATAAAAATACAAAAATTAGCCGGGCATGATGGTACATGCCTGTAATCCCAGGTACTCAGGAGGCTGAGGCAGGAGAATCGCTTGAACCTGGGCGGTGGAGTTTGCAGTGATCCAAGATTAAGCCACTGCACTCCAGCCTGGATGACAGAGTGAGACTCCATCTCAAAAAAAAAAAGAATTACAAGGCACTTACTATGTGCCAGCATAAGGCTGGGCTTTTCTCATGAATTAGCTCATCAAATATTCATGCCCACCCTCTGAGTTAGGTACAACTATCCTCATCACTCACCAAGGGGAAAACTGAGGTTCAGAGAGCTTAAGCAAGTCTACCAAGGCTGCTCAGCCAGGGAGCAGAGGAGCTGGAGTTCAGAGCCATGTGGTCCAGCAGCAGAGCCCAGCTGTTCCCAGCTGATGAGATTCTCTGAGGTTCTTTATTCCCTCAGGGGAAGCAGGGCTGCCTGTCTGGAGCTAAATGCGCTCCAACAGGCAGGCTGGGCGCAGTGACTCACGCCTGTAATCCCAGCATTTTGGGAGGCCAACATGGGTGGATCATGGGTCAGGAGATCAAGACCATCCTGGCCAACATGGTGAAACCCCATCTCTACTAAAAATACAAGAAAATAAAGAAACAAACAAAAATAGCTGGCGTGCTGGTGCATGCCTATAGTCCCAGCTACTTGGGAGGCTGAGGCAGGGAAATTGCTTGAACCCAGAAGGCGGAGGTTGCAGCGAGCCGAGATCACACCACTGCACTCCAGCCTGGTGATAGAACAAGACTCCATCTCAAAAAAAAAAAAAAAAAACCCGAATGCGCTCCCACTGGTTTTCTGGGAGCATCTCTGGAGTATAATCTGTACACACACACAGCTGGTACTGCCCCTGGGTCACTGCAGGCCCCAGAGTGAGGCAGCCTGCTCCCTGCTGGTTTCCTGGCATGCGTGGATCCCCTGAAAGGGGATCTCATCTTTCCAGCCTAGAGAGGCTCCATCCTCCTCTGGCACCCTCCCTGTGTCCCTGGACTCTATCTGCAAAGGAGACAGGGCAAGGAACTGACAATCTCACAGCACCCACTTAGGTTGACTGTATTCTTGGTCCCATTTTACAGATTAAGAAACTAAAGTTTCATTTAAAAATTTTTTTCATAGGTTAAAAACAGAAGGAAAGAAATGAACAAACGGGTTTACAAAGAGGCCAGGTGGCCAGGTGTGGTGGCCCATGCCTGTAATCCCAGCACTTTGGGAGGCTGAGGCAGGCAGATCGCTTGAGCCCAGGAGTTTGAGACCAGTCTGGGCAATATAGCAAGACCCCATCTCTAAAAACTAAAAAAAAAAAACAGAAGCCAAGTAGGTAAAGCCAAGATTCCAAGTCAAGTCACCTCCGTCTGACCCTTTCTCCTTATCAGTAAAAATAATCGTGGTAGTAACGGCTATCGTGTTCAAAGGATGACCATATGCAGACCCTTTATGCCTGCTTCACATGCTGTTAAATGAGGAAGCATTTTATAGATGAGGAAGGCAAGTCACACAGCAGGGAAGGGACTTTCCCAAGGTCTCGAGTCAGTGAGCAGAGGAGCTGGGAATCGTCCCAGAACAATGAACCTTGGTGTCCATGAGTCTTTGCAAGGACGTAGAGTTGTAACTGAGGGCTCAGAGCGTGCACTCTCTCTCAGTCTGGCACCCTTTTCCCAAAGGTGTTCTGCCCTTGGCCCTGAGGAAGCACCCCTTCTCTTTTCCTGCCCACTTCCAACACTTGGGAGCTGCGCTCTCCCCATGGGTCCATGGCAGGTGGGGAAACACCTCTCCATGTCTTATCTAATTGCATCCCCACCATAATCATTCTTATCCTTACTCCAGATGGAGGAAAAAGGCAAGTAAGTGAGGCCAGGTGCCATGGCACACGCCTGTGGTCCCAGCTACTCAGGAGGCTGAGGTAGAAGAATCACTTGAACCCAGGAGGCGGAAGTTGCAGTGAGCCAAGATTGTGCCACTGCACTCCAGCCTGGTGACAGAGCAAGACGCCAACCCAAAAAAATACAAATAAAAAAGGCAGGTAAGTGACTTCCCAGGGCCCCCGTGCTCATAAACAGTGAGCACCAGGCCAAATCCAGGCCTCTCAACCACTCCAGCTGATGCTTTCTCTGGCCCCTAAAAGCCCCGTTAGGGAAAGTTCTCTGTTACCATAGAAAGCAAATTAATGCCAGGCACAGTGGCTCATGCCTATAATCCCAGCACTTTGGGAGGTGGGTGGATCACGAGGTCAAGAGATCGAGACCATCCTGGTCAATAAGGTGAAACCCCGTCTCTACTTAAAAAAATACAAAAAATATAGCAATAAGTGCCCATATGAGAAGAGTGGAGAAATCCAAAATTGACACCCTATCGTCAAAATTGAAAGAGCTAGAGGACCAAGACCAAAAAAACTCAAAACCCAGCAGAAGACAAGAAATAACTAAGATCAGAGCTGAACTGAAGGAGATAGAGACACGAAAAACCCTTCAAAATATCAATAAATCCAAGAGCTGGTTTTTTGAAAAGATCAACAAAATAGACAGACCACTAGCCAGATTGATTAAAAATAAAAGAGAGAACAACCAAATAGATGCAATAAAAAACGATAAAGGGGAAATCACCACAGATTCCACAGAAATTCAAATCATCATCAGAGAATATTACAAACAACTCTATGCACATAAACTAGTAAACCTAAAAGAAATGGATAAATTCCTGGACTCCTGTGTCCTCCCAAGCCTAAACCAGGAGGAAGCAGAAACTATGAATAGACCAATAACAAGGTCTGAAGTCGAGGCAGCAATTAAGAGCCTACCACACAAAAAAAGCTCAGGTCCACATGGGTTCACAGCCGAATTCTACCAGACACACAAAGAGGGAATCCTTCTGAAACTATTCCAAATAATCCAAAAAGAGGGAATCCTTCCCAAATCATTTTATGAGACCAACATCATCCTGATACCAAAACCCGGCAGAGACCCAACAAGAAAAGAAAACTTCAGGCCAATATCCATGATGAACATAAATGCAAAAATCTTCAATAAAA